CATTCATTTTGCATGAAGGTATTTGAAATTAGGGATTCCTTCATTTTTCAGAGGTTTGTTTCAACAAAGCTTCAGAATAAGAAGTAAAAATGCTCACAAAAGTGAGGAGACTCAAAACATTCGGCATTTGTACAAGAGCTAAGTATGTTGTTAAGAAAATAAAGGCAGATTATTTTTATTCTTGATTCAGATTAAAATCAGGCATGTCATAGGGAACTTTCATAGAGTCAGATTCAGTGGGAACACATCATGTAGACGACAGTGTTCCCATTAACACATTGAGCTTCACACCCAGGTAGTGCTGATAGATGTTAAATCTTAAATGTTAGCATCTGGAGAACCACAAGAGCAACCAAAAGAGCAATACAACTAGGGTTCAGATGTTTTGTTTAGACAGACAATATGTGTGTTTTCTTTCATTTAGTCATTTTAAAGTATCATCAAAATAACAGAAAAATGCTTCTATAAAGAATGAGACAAACCTGATTTCTGCTTACTCTTGGTTCTTTGAAACTGGACAAGAGACAGCTGGACTTGTTAGACATTTATGCAGTTCATATTTCAGATTCAAAATGGATAGCTCCATCTCCTGCTCAACTTATAATTAAAAGATTAAGTTAATATTTTACCATCAAAGAAGTTTCAAGAGGCTTTTACATGTTTTAACAATTTTTTTGGTAAGAGAGATTTGATAGCTCTCTGGCAGACTTCAAACCAATTAAAGTTTTAGGAATGTTCTCACAAGACAGCATTGGTCAATGTTTCTTGTTTACACACGATATCACAAAGATGAGGAGTTGGACAAGTTTTGCATTGAGCTATTTCTATGGATACCTAAAATTGTAACAAATAATTATAATAGTCAAAAATTTGTCAGAAATATAAATTCTCACACTTGAGAGTGTGAGAATTGTGTTGCAGAACTGTAATAGGGAAAATGTTTTTGGCCAGCTGCAAGTTTGGGCCATAAGTTTTCCTGTACATTTTCCAAAAGCAAATGTGATTGAAGTTAACATTATTTTGTTTAGTTATTCATATTCATTATTATGGTAACATTTTGTAAGAACTAGGAATAATAATTATAAGGAGATAGAAGATAGTTCCACTGGAGTGCAAGACTCTTTAATCTTCAGAGTGGCATTACCAGCTCTGGCTCTTTGTAAGTGGAATCCAGCGGAAGTGAAGAAGCATAATTCATATGTATTGGATTTCTTCCCAGTTCCTAATTTTTCATTTCTGTTGAAATGTGGGAACTGCTCTCAATCCAATTCCCATGGCATTTAAACAACTGAATTAGATATATTTGTTACTACATATTAAGAAGAACATGCATACATAGAAAAAGACGACCCACAGGAGATGAAAAATGCTGTGCCTTCTTGAGATCAGAATATAAATCTTGGAGGGTTCAAGCTGGTCTGCCTGCAAGCACTCTCCACATACTGAATCCCTGGGAGGATAACACTGGATGCTACCGTAGCTTTATCTAAACACTGAGAAACTCCATACCTACACTTGTAGAATCAGTAAAACTAATGAGATGAGGATATCTGTCTGTAAGAGAGCCAGAGAACAGAGAAATGGCAAGAGTGAACATTTTGCCCTATGGTTTAAGCCTGTGGTGTATTTCTGCCACCCAGTGATTTTCTGGATACAGAAGCAAGAAGAATACTTTGTAATGATCACATTGCACCTTCAGTGTTGCTCTCCAAGTTATGCTTACATCCCTCCTTGGTTTTATTTGTTTGGAAGTACAGTGGCAACAGTGCTTTCAGCATCAGAAAGCTTTAAATTTATATATATTTATATATATAATATATAAATTCTATATACTAGGGTACAAATCTTCCTGCCATTATAGACAGCTGTGAATTGCCAGGGTTGAATTAGCAAAATAAAGCTAATATAGAGTTCTAGTCAGATATCACTTAAGAAAGTATTCACATCTTTTAAAAATGAAAATTTAAAACTTATAAAACTTCTCCTTGATCAGTTGTGAAGAAATCAGAAGCTTTATTTTGATGTTTCTAAAAAACTTTGAGAATTTTCTCTATATTCAATTGGCCAAAGCGCCAGGAAACTGTGAAGCAGATCAGGGTTAAGTGAGTACTCCAAACTTATGATCTTTGCTGCATTTGTTACTGCGTGGGTAGAACAATGTGAGGGATATGGCGTAGATCCAATAAGCACTAGGGATCAAATCAGCTTAAACTGATTGTATTATTGCTATGATTTTTTAATATTTTTTTAAGTAAGCAACATCAAATGGAGTATGAGATGAGGATCCCAAAATCACAACTTCAATTTGGAACTAAGGATGATGGAGTTAAAAGCAGTTTCTTCAGTGTACCTAAAATGGGGAGGCAGTTTCTCTGAGCTGTGCTCTTCTTTACCAGAGGTATTTGTCATGAGAATCAGAGAGCAAAGTGAACATATGATAACTAATGAGCTGCAAAATACAGCATGCCAAGTAGAAGAAAGCAGAAAAGAAGCTGTGTGAAGATCAGACTGCTTTTCTGGAACATTTCCTGCCGTCTCAGTTATCTCTTATTTTTACACTGGTATATTAGTTCTGACTGCATGAGTCAAAGTATCTGGCAGCTCTCATGCCGAGAGAATGATAAGTGACAGTATAGAAAAGAAAGATGCTAATTATGTTATTTTCCTATTTGTACCTTTCATGCTTAATACTAAAAGCAGCAGCAGAAGTACTATGAAATATTTCCTTCATATAAGAAATTTTCAAAACAGCAGTGAAATACAGATAGGCCTGAACATGAAGTCCTTACAGTGGCAAGATCTCCTGTTCCACTCCATGAGCTTTACCCTGCTCTAAAGGGATGGCTAAATGTGCCAGGAAAGCTTCTTAGAATGTAATGGTGGCCTTGAGCAATGCATTCACTTGTTTAGAAAGCAACTGGTTTTTACCAAGCAGCATGGGGCAGAGTGAGAGATCTTGCTCTTGGATAGACAGTAGTCTACCTGATTCATAGACACTCTGTGCTGTAATGATATCTGTCAGTGGCAGTAGAGGAATATCTGGTTTTCCAAGCAATTTATTGTAATAGAAATGACCTGTTTCTTGTGACTACTCACCACCCTTCCATCTGCTAAACATTTGGAAAAGGCACTGTCCATCCAAATTGGATCAGATACTAAATGCACTGGCACAAATCATGTGCTAAAGCCAGCTATTCCTGCTAGTAAAAATTTGTCTCAGACAAAGCTTAAAATCTTCTTCCGCTGACGACATTTGACATGCTTTGTTTGTTCCAGCAAAAATAGGTTCGATGCAAAAAACCAGGTTTTTTCAAAGACTAATTTTCTACTGTTCAAACCCCATAGGTCCGATTTCTTGAAGCTAAGCAAATTGTGAAGCTGTGAGCACTTTCAGTGACATACCAATAAAAACATTAATGATAATAGCTGGAAGTATTTACAGGATTACAAAAAATGCATCTTAGCCCTTAACAAATTTAACCATGCTTTCTACTGTCTCAGTGTACATTAGCCTCTGAGACTCATTTGCTGCAGTCCAGGCTTTATGGTAACTCACTAATTTTAAGTGCAGGTTTTGCAGAATGCAGATTGTGCCCACCCACCTCTCTACACCCCCTAGTAAAATTAGGGTTTTTTAAAATGCTAGTTTACATGAGTAAACATCAGTTCATGAACTTGTGGGTCTCTGCCTATTTTACTTCCAAGCTTCTTAAGCTTCCCCTGATGATGCAAAGAATGGCACATAGACGCTGCCCTGGTTTGATGAAATAGCAGAGCTGCCTTTTGGTTTGGTTTTTTTTTTTTTCTTTTTTTATTGCACTAAATAATGAGATCTATCTATAGGATGCATATTCTGATATTCCTCAGGGTGAGAATGGGTGAGAATACCAGCTTTTAAAACACTTGAGGACTTTTAGGTACTTTTATAAAGACACAGCAATTGTTCTTGAGATTATGTTCTACAATGAATGAGTATTAGAACCCCTCCTATTGCTAAGGATGAATATTTGCCTCTTCTTTTTCACCCTTGTATTTTTTAGCTAAAAATCTTTCTTTTTATTAAAACTTCATAGAAAATGTGGTCCTGCTATGTACCACTCATATGTATTTTAGTATTTTTTCAAGTATGGATCCAGATAAACTTTCATGGTTAAGTTGATGCTGCGACTTAAAAAAACAACTATATCTTTTATTCTGGGATGGAGCTGATATATTTTTGCTCTTTCATTGAGTTTTAATACAAAATATAAGATCTGAACATTTATATCTGATGCTCTTTATATCCCAATGGGGATATATCTCACTGAAGGTATCTGTTTTCTTGTAATGACTAACGTATAAGTATTTATATAATTTCTTGTAGCACAGCACCACTAGTTATCAAAGTGCACTGATTTTGTTGTTGATTTTGTTGTTGTTTTGTTTGTTTATTTTTTGTTGGTGGTGGTGAGTTTTTTCTATACAGCTTCTTAGTGCTGGACTAAAATGATGAGGTTTGGATATTTGATATTCTTACATTTTACAAGGTGAATAAATTTTGGTTCCTCTTCTTTAATTATACTTGAAAGATCCCATAGAGCCCAAAATCACATATAAAGATTCATGTGTGTTAGTTTCAAGGGATTGCAAGAAGGTGGAGATATAAAAGTAACTTTTCAGTAACTCAGAGATAGGAGGCAGAACTCTTGGTAGCTTATGTCACCCAGGAAGGAGCAGGGTAATAAGTATTTGTCCAGTAACATCAGGTCTTTGTTAAGAGTTCTGTGATAAGAAATGGCACTAAGGGCTCTTGGGTTCCATTCAAGGCCCAATCTAATGCCCCACAGCTGTCTGAAGAGTGCTGGGGGTGGGAGATGCTGGGAGCTGTGCCGGGGTGGGCTCAGAGGCCATTTGAGGCCTTCTATGACCTCTTTGGAGAACTACTCCAGTGCATTGTTAGCCACAGTGGTTTATTCCTGGTTTCTTCTGGTTTTGACTGTGTATTTTTTTCCGTCACTCAGATGAAAGAAACTCTTCATGTGGAAAGAAAGAAGAGAGGTAGGTACATAGTTTCAGAATTACACAGATATACTGTGATAAAGATAGGTTTTATCAAATCTATTAGCTACACATCTCTCTGTTTCTGTTGTTTCTTAGAACAACTGTTTGACAGACTACTACACTTCTTAATTTATGTAGAACACAAAATGAGTGGGACAAGCTCATGGGTATTATTCTTAAATCAAGTTAAGGATTTAGCTGAAGCATATATGCCTGAAAATACTCAGCAAAGGTGAGCAGAATAAGGTTAAATATATTAAGAATATTTTTAGTTTAATGGAAGTGTAAATGTAGACTTGATTACTGCATCATAAAATATGTGTTAGGAGGTATGCAGTAATTTTTCCATGTAATTTTTATGTAAGAATAGGACCATGAAAAATATGACTTACTGCAGAAGAAAAATATTAAGGACATGTGGCTAAACATCACAGTGGAAAATAAATGGTTATTTCATATTTCTTTACTGAATTAAATTAAAGAAGGAAAAGGCCTAGCTTCTAAGGTAGTCTCTTATTCCATTGCATAGTGTGTTATGCTTAACATTGTAGTTAATTTCTTTGATCTGTTTGCACACTGGCATAAAAATGCTTTAAAGGGCCTAGAACATCTTCTCAGCCTTCAGATGACAATCTTATGGCATAACATGGCCATATTGTTGCAAGGTAATAATTTGGTTGGATAGGTATTCTTGTGTGTGTGGTCTATTTATTGTCAGTTCACCATTGTTTTAAATGGATTTAGCAAACTGTAGCAAAAATGCTGTTAATATTTGTTTATTAAGCTGTTAAACAGATCATGCAGCAAGTTTTTATGCAGTTTAAAATCCAGTCTGTATTGCAGTAGGTGCAATTTCTGCCAGACTAAAAGTTCACATTCAGACAAGTTCATGCACTTCACATCATACGAGCTAAAGGGTAGCCAGAGAGCACACTCCAGTGTTTCAGGGCTGCCCCAGAAGAGATCATCCTAAGAATCCATCACGGTCTGCCAAAGGAAAAACTGCAGCCTGAAGCAAATTTTTCACATTGACTCTAAATCATCATCACAAAGAAACGTCTTTCAAAGAGGAGATGAAATATTTTTACTCCAAATTACCAATTTGAGTTGAACATGGAATTTTCCATATTCATTTTGATTGCTTTCAATAACGGAAAGCAGAACACCAAAACCATCCAATCTTGAAACATTTTGCTGCAAAATTTTAAAGGAAAGTGTTTCTACAATCAAAACAGCTTTTATTATAGGAATTGAATTTCTATGTATAAATAGATATCTCCTGTTAGCTTTTTTAAATGTATCAATATGAAACAAAATATTCCATTTAGACATGAGGGAAGTATTTTTCTATATGTAAAATTGAATTTACAGGAATCCCAGCCTGTCTTAATAGTAATCTTTTTCCAATTCCGACAATCAAGAACATATTCAATTATTCATAGGGCTGTGATTCTGTTTACAACTCTTTCTTGTGTTATTTGGAAGAAAGATGTAAAAATCTAACTGCAGAGCAATACAATACCATAGAAAGAACAGCTATTAAAAGGAAAAGAAGGTTGGTGTGATGAGGGAAACAGACTAGAGAATGCTCCATTGGCTGATACACCAGCCAGTGTTACTGGATGGCCTGAGAGAAACCACCTGGTTTATGGAAGAGCTCATTATCTAATTTACAGACAAAACACAAGACGGGGAGTAATTTATAGAGGAGCAAAGATCAGACCAAGCCCCTCACTTTTCCCTCTTGTGCTCGTGTAACCCCTCCATGTGCAGATCTCCATCTGGCAGCTCCAGTACGGGGAGACTCTTGTCTATGATACCAGTTGGACTAGTGACCAACATAAATTTGCTTTCAGGCTGATTGGATTTACAGCTGAAACAGCTCTAATGCAGGAAATAAAGGTGCCCCATGCAGCAAGCAGTTTGATGCAGGGCCTGGAGGAAGAGCATGTGGGACCTTTGGCAAGCTTTTATGGTGAGCAATAGCATCTCCAGTCCCTGGGTGAGCAGTAGTCAGAAAAGACATCATCAAAAGGTGAGGAGTAGCATGTCTTCTTTTTTCCTTCTCCCAGTACTAGTGAGTTCCCACAAACACATGCATCCCAGGTGGTGAAAGAATAAAATACAGCAAAGATGTCAGCCTGACAGGTTGTTGCCACTATCCCCCCTCAGAGCAGGGTTTGCAGTTCCCATAGGGCTTCCTGCCCATTTGGGATTTCTCTGACTCCAGCTACAGTCCGCTGTGATTCTCATCCTGAAATGTTCTTCCCCAGGGAAAAGCAGAGACTGGGGCTACCAACATGAGATCACTTCAAAAAAGGAGTAGTGGAGCAGGGCCAGGACCTAGCTGCCTATGTAATACTGACTACGGTAGTGTCAGCATATATATTTTCTTTCAATTATGACATAAAGAAATGTCCTTACGTAGCTTATCCAGCTGGAAAAATTAAGAAGAAACAATAGCATGACATTTTCTAATCAGATATTTTTCCCACTCTTCCAGAAGACAGTGTCCATCTGTTTTAGCATCTGCTCAGTATAGTTCTAAATTCTCCTAAAACCAACAAGCAAGAGAAATGGTTTCACTGCCTTCAAAATGTCAAGATCTAAGAATTTCTTGCGGGAAAAAAAGTTGCATATGTCATGGTTATAGCTGCAAAATATGTCTCTGACCACTGCTCTCTGCCCATTTAAATAGAATATAAAAACTCAATTTATTTTAGCAGGTTTGAGAAAGTACTTGACTAAAAACTTTGATTACAAACAGAAATTATTTTTTAAAAGTGCAAAATTTTTCCCTGCTGTTAAAGCCACTGACCTTTTGTTGTCTTTTCTACAGAGCCCTTACCGTAATAATAAGGGATCAAATTATGTCCTTGAAGTATCTCTTATTTCATTAAACATTTGGGATTTTTAAGTAATAAAACAATGTACACATGTTTTGTTTGCACACATCTCACTACCTAACCAGAAAACATGGGAAGAAATCTGAAAAAACCTGCCTAAAACAATCAAAATTTTCATTTTTCTTGTAATTTCTACTAAAACTTCCTGGAGAGTGAGATTTGGATCACATTTTCACCGACACATTTGCTCCTTTTGCAGAGTCAGTGATCCAGGACACTTCACAAAAATAATCTGGTATCAGAATTCACAAAAAAATTCAAGCTGGAATGGACCACTGGAGGTAATTCAAGTTTTGCTTCAGTTAGCAACTCACATGATATGTTCATAAGAGAATTTTATCTTGGTGACTACAACCTGAGAGCATATTGGACATATGTCTGCCTGACATGCGAACACTTCTGCTGAGAGTTAAATTTATAAATTCACTTTTTTTTTTTTTTTTCCACACAGAGTTTAGTCTGTTTTCTCAGATTGAATTTATACATAAGTTTTGATATGACAAAAAATAATGCCATGATTTTCAGTTCAGTCAAAAGAGAAGTGGAAAAGAATGCACTGAAAAAAAATTTACTCTAATTTTGGATTATTTTTCACTTTTTCAGACTGTTCAACTATGTACTGTCTTGTAGAAAGTTTTATAAGTACTTCATCCTATATTTCATGGTCTCCTTCCTATGTGTGTTGACCTTTCTTCTGCCTTGCACATTATAGATTCCAAATGCAACCCTCTAGCTCGTGTTTCTGTTGTTCTGTGTTGTCAGTCTGATATTACCTGGTTAAAAGAGGAAGAGTGATGCAAGCATAGCTTTTCTGAGAACATCATCCAGTGTGACAGATATTATTAATATGAGGTAGCCTAACTGCAAACTACCAAAAGTTCTGAAGGATCTTTTCCCTGTGGAAGCCAGATGAGATTCCCCATAAAGCAGACAATAATATATCTACAAAAGACTACTTAGGCTCAAAACACGTAGCAAACATATTTTTAATCAGAATGATCCCCCCAGCCATGCTACCCAGGGACTTCAGATTAGAAGGAGATACTATTCCACTGGCCTTGTTAATGCTGCCCATTTTATTGAATGCCAGCTGCCCATGTTGAACATACAGCAGCAAAAAAAGCTTCAGTTTGGCTTCTGTTTTTATCACTGGGTGAAACAAGATCTGCAAATAAGGAAAAGACATTCACCCACATGTACTGACATCTGCATTAGTTAGCAATGAAATCTGCTTTATCCCACATATTTCTGTTCCTTCATTCCTTTATCCCACAGTCAGAGCTGTTGCGGGTTCTGATTAGCATTTGTACATTTCCAATGGAAATTGGTAGATTTTTAAAGAAAGGAGGTTGGAAATACAGATGACAGTGACTGGTGACTGATACATGAATTGTGTTAACAACACAGCTATCCTGCAGACAAATGTTAGGGTGGAAAGTAAAGCAGTGTGAGAAGCATCATGATGCCTTAAGAAGAGATGAAATAGAGTGAAATGAAATATAGATGACACACATATCAAAACCAATATGTCTAAATGGCTGACCTTATTTAGACAAGGAATGACATTTACATGGCAAAACCAATGAAATTTGAATTATTGCCTTTAAATGGCAGTAATTAAAGAGTATGAGGCTACAGCAGTTTTCTGCAGAAATAAATAGATATATGAGATCATGTGTGAGTGATGGAAAAGCCTCCATTCAGCACATAATTCTCAGCAGATTTTCTTTATTTGAAAGGAGTGTTACAGCATTATCATCAGAGTGACTAAAATTAAATGAATTAAAATGTCATCTGGAATTAAGTAAATCCTTTCATTATTATTCAGTCTATCAAAGGAATCCTTACATAACAAGGGGGAAAGCCCCACAGTTTATCTGATAAAATCAGCATGATCAGTGATTTCAACCTGAAATTTTTATTGTTTTTAGTAAATTGCTTAAAATGAGTTGTATTTAGGCTTCCTACTTATTTATTTTTAGCTAAATGGACAGTTTCATTGAATCGATAGGGTTATACTTGCTTTAGAAAGTGTATGACTGGTCTATATGTAGATTATGCTGAGAAATACTGGTAACAAAACTAGAAATTTTAGTGTCGATATAGTTACAATTATAATAAATACTTATCTACTGTGATATAATCAGTGAATATTGATGAATATAGAAATGCATCCTTTCCTTTTAACATGTTTGTGACAATATAAACATGAATGAACACTCTGATAGGTCAAATTCTACAGTCACAGGAGCAGTTACATTTCCTTGTACCCTTCATTAGTTTTTAGAGCACTTTGAAAGCCATTGCTGTGAGTTTCTGAAGCTGGCCAAGGGTTTGCATATGGAGGGAACTTGAGGCAGTGATGTCCCACACAACATTGCTGTTGTCCATGCAGAGCACAGAGCACTGCAAGCACAGTGACAGTGAATTGCTTAGGTGCTTGAACTGATCAAGTGGCTCAAAGCTTTCCTTGTTAAGAAAACTGCTTTTAAATTAAACCATTTGTCTCCAACATGTTTAATTGTATAACAGGAAGAAAAGAAAAAAATAGGGAAAATGTTTGAATCTTTCCTTAACACTCCTGCTACTAATAAGAATAAATCAGGGAAACTCCAGTCAGGATACTAGCTTTGTTTATCCTGTAGCACTGTGTTCTGTTCTTTGTAGGATCTAGGAACTGATGCTTCTGTATCCCAAGTATGCAATCCCATATATTCTGTATGAGTTGTTTGAAGAGATCTTATATAGAGGAGAAGTATTTGCCTAAGCCTAAGCATAGACGAAGTATAATGAACAATCTGTTAAATGTTAATGTAATTTATCCTTTCCTAATTTACAAACATGACATATTGCCTGTATTTAGTGTTAATCTCTTTTAGACACTCATTTGTTTTGACCTATGTCCATAATATATTATGTACCTTGAGAAATTTATCTTGTCATTTTGAAACAAGATTACAATTAATATGACACACATGAGTTTAAATTACTACTCCAACTAGAGATGTGTGAGTAATGAATTAGCCACTGTCTTGAACTGTTGGCAGACAATTTAAATTGCCTGACTCTGATGCATGATCTGGAATTGCTAAATATGTACATGGTCTTAAGTCAACATGTTTTTATATCAGTGACTGAGTAGTACTCTTTAAACACTTTTTTTCCTAAAGATAAATAGCTAAATAAAAGTTAGCTTGGAACTGTATAGTCAGATGTCTGACTGCAAACAATTCTTCCACAGATTTGTTTTGTCGCACCACATTTGGTTTGTGATTGTAAGGTCAAGCCTAAAAAGTTAAGTGGTTGCCTATAGGAAGCAGGACTGTAATTGTGATATCATTAGAAATACTGAATTGTGGATAATACTTTATATTTGTACTTGTCACTTGTCTGGTTTTTGACAAGAGGAGGCAGTTTTGATGGGCTTCCTGTGGTCCTTGTGTTTTTTATCCTGTTATCCAATTTTCTGCTGCACTGCTTTCCTTCTGTCATGCTGACTGCTAGCCAGCCTTGCATCCTTTACTGGAAGGGCATACAAAGCTTTTCGCTATAGTGGACAGAAATAAAAGGAGAAGCAATAGCAGGGATGAATTTTGATAAGTACCTTATGTCCCCTGTCCAGGCGAAGTCATACATGATCTATATAGCACCTGAAGGTCTTTCAAATCTTATAGAAGAAGTAACGATTATATATATATATATACACATATATATGTGTATATACACATATACACATATATATGTGTATATATACTTTTTAAAATAAAATAAATCCTGAAAAGAGAGAAAACAATCTATGATTTTAAAGGTTCTTTGTGGATGACAGGAAACATTTAAGTTTAGTGACCCGGCATTCTTTGAAAAAAACAAAGGGATCAAACACCAACTAATCCATAAACCACAATCCAAGTCCTAGTGTATAGGTAAATGAATTCTACCCCAAAATCTCTACTTTTTAAACAGCTTATAATATTCAATAATCTTTAGATATTAATCTCCACTAACTTTTCTTTTTTTTTAAATAGAGCTTGGCATGAACAAAACAATATATATACTCTGTGCGCTGGTTTATACTCTTTTACATGCTGTTTTAATCTGCTCTAGGTATATCTTCTGCAAAACTGGTCTCTGCTTATAGTCACATTTGTTGCTATTCTTTGAAAGCAAGTGTAACCATTGTGTGGGGTTTGAATTATTGGATAAATCCCTGCCTTTTGTTACATCTGATGTTAGATTATCTGTCTGAGTGTTTTAAAACCCCATGTCCATAAATTTCAAGACACAAGCGTAACTATGCAGGCAAGGGTCTATATAGCATATAGCAACAGCATAACATCAAGGCTATGTCCGAATTGACAAAGCCAGGAGTGCTTTGGGTTTCTACACCCAGGTTCATGCTGCATTTGGATTCCATCACCAAAAGTTGGTAGAGGTTTGTGACACCTAACCTGCCTCTCACCATGCCCCAGCTTTGCCAGGGACCTGCAAAGCAGAAGACAGGGAAGTGGCGGTCCCAGTCTGGGCAATCAGGAGCCAAGGACTGGTGGCCCCAAGCTCAGGACTGCTATGTCTCATTGCATGTATGCTTAGTAGCCTACTCTAGGTCTTCAAACATCTCTCAGCTACTCTGCTTTCCTTCTTTTTTTTGCATAGCTGTGGTAGAAATACTCTTGTTAACAACCGTTACTACATCATTTGCCATAGACTGCCGAATAACATGGCTCCTGGCATTGGTGAGAAAAAAGAGATTAAATGAGAAGAAGTGTTCTGTTAGCTGTCAGAGACACAACTGCATTATTGAAAAAAAGTACATCTTCAAGGCCTGGATGAATGGGGCTTTAAGCAACCTGGTCGAGTGGAAGGTGTCCCTAGCCATGGCAGGAGGGTCTGGGACTAGATCACTTTTTAAAGTCTCTTCCAGCACAAACCATTCCAGTATTCTATGGTTCTATGATCTAATATGGTCACATGATCATTGACAACTTTAGAAAACACCCTTCTTATCTGTTACATTTTCAGTACTGGAAATTTTTGCCCTATGTAGAACATTTTTTTGTAGATCTTATCTATTGCTCTTGCTAGACTCAATACCAGTGTCTACTATAAAGGAAGAAATAATTGCCTTAAATATCTGTGAAAATTTGCTAACACAATTTCTGGGGAATGAGGCAGTCTCCCAAACAAGCATCTGACTCCTTGTTAGTCACTTTTTAAACTATTTTGAATAATGTACTAAGTCATGAGATTGTAGATAATCCCTCTACTTTAGTCATGCACTTGA